AGGACGGAGGTCAGATAGAAGACTGAAGGGAAGGACGGAGGTCAGATAGAAGACTGAAGGGGAGGACGGAGGTCAGATAGAAGACTGAAGGGGAGGACGGAGGTCAGATAGAAGACTGAAGGGAAGGACGGAGGTCAGATAGAAGACTGAAGGGGAGGACGGAGGTCAGATAGAAGACTGAAGGGAAGGACGGAGGTCAGATAGAAGACTGAAGGGAAGGACGGAGGTCAGATTTAGCCTCTTCCCAGTTGATATCTGGGTCACACAGTGCGGCCATTTCTTCTGATTGTTGAGGTACAATGAGCCGTTTTTCTATGAGACATTAGAAGAGGTTTCCATGCGCGTTGTTTCCGGATCGGTGCCGGTTTTATCTCACAGATCGAGGTTCCTGACCTCCCGAATCCACCCGATATGGAGGTCCTGCTCTGCTGGTTGCGGAGTGATCACATGACCTGAGTGCTTCTAAGGTGACAGATCGCCCTATAAGATCTGCTGATAACCTCCTCTGTGTATTGTGACAACACGGGCCGGAGGCCTCATACAGGGAGGACGGGTTCCGGAGGACAAGTTGCTGTGTATTGGATTTCATTTACATTATTTACCCAAAACAAGCCGAATATCAGAGCTCATCCTTCCCCCAAATATACCCAGCCATGAACTACACCGAGCCCAGCACTATGCACCCGGCGCGTCCTCACCTTCTCTCTGAGCAACGGCACCAGCTCCGCGGATCCATTGTTGGGAGTCGGTACAACTTTAGAGAATGTCGCAGTGTTCGGGTTCGGTTCCTGAGGAGAGAAATACACGATGATCACATGACAGGCAGAGGACACAGGACCAGCCAATAACATTCATCATAGTACACAGGAGGCGAGCGGTGCGTCTGCCCCTCCCCCCACCCCCTCGCCGTCCTTTCTTCAAAATACAAAACCTGAGATACAAAAGTATATAAACCCGAAAGAAAGAGATACAAAGGTAACAAAATGATTTCCTTTCCATCTCCTGTTATATTTATCTGCATTACTCTGCAACCGTCCGAGAGAGCGACCGGACCAATCAATGATCAGCTACAATGTCTTCCTATATAACCTCTTATTACCCCTCCTCTCCACATTCACTCCTCCCCCCTCCTCTCCACATTCACTCCTCCCCCCTCCTCTCCACAACCCCACATTCACTCCTCCCTCCACTTCCCCCCCACATTCATGAATTGTACATGAACCTCCTGTGTGATTAGGAAACGCCTGGACTGGTATTACTGGGAGTACTGGTATCAGAGGGCGGCGCTGGGCCCGGCTTAGAATGTAAATTACATCTAAACCTGAACTGGATGATTTGTTTGCTGAAGCACTGTGTGTGTGTGTAACAGGGATAGGCACAGACCGGCCCTCCAGCTGTGGTGGAACTACAAATCCCATCATGCATCTGCCTCCTGGAGTCATGCCTGTGGCTGTCAGAGTCTTGCAATGCCTCATGGGATTTGTAGTTCCACAACAGTTGGAGGGCCGGAGTTTGCCTGCCCCTGCCGTACACTATGATGGAGGGGCGCACCACTTACTGTGACACCCTATTATAGCTCAGCTTCTGTGCAGCGAGTCCGGAGTCTCCATACCGGTCACCGCCTCTCATTACTCTGCACCTGTCATACAGCGGTGAAGCAGCCATGTGGTTTTACTAATGTGTGGGCGGAGCCTGATGGGGAAGCTGAGGGACTAGTTCCCCATCAGGTCCACTATGCTAGAGATTCCATAGCAGGCTGTCTCTTGGCTAAGGAATCTACCCGCTGCCAGCCACAGTGGACCTGATGGGGAACTAGTCCTTCGGCCATGGAATCCCCCCACTGCCTGAAATCCTTAACTAGCAGAGTGGACCTGATGGGGAACTAGTCCCTCAACTTCCCCATCAGATCCGCTCTGCTAGAGATTCCATAGCAGGCTGTCTCTTGGTTATGGAGTCCCCCCCCCTCCCCACTGGCAGCTGCCTATCACTAGCAGAGTGGACCTGATGGGGAACTAGTCCTTCAGCTATGGAGTCCCCCCCACTGGCAGCTGCCCATCACTAGCAGAGTGGACCTGATGGGGAACTAGTCCTTCAGCTATGGAGTCCCCCCCACTGGCAGCTGCCCATCACTAGCAGAGTGGACCTGATGGGGAACTAGTCCTTCAGCTATGGAGTCCCCCCCACTGGCAGCTGCCTATCACTAGCAGAGTGGACCTGATGGGGAACTAGTCCTTCAGCTATGGAGTCCCCCCCACTGGCAGCTGCCCATCACTAGCAGAGTGGACCTGATGGGGAACTAGTCCTTCAGCTATGGAGTCCCCCCCACTGGCAGCTGCCTATCACTAGCAGAGTGGACCTGATGGGGAACTAGTCTTTCAGCTATGGAGTCCTCCCCCACTGGCAGCTGCCTATCACTAGCAGAGTGGACCTGATGGGGAACTAGTCTTTCAGCTATGGAGTCCTCCCCCACTGGCAGCTGCCTATCACTAGCAGAGTGGACCTGATGGGGAACTAGTCTTTCAGCTATGGAGTCCTCCCCCACTGGCAGCTGCCTATCACTAGCAGAGTGGACCTGATGGGGAACTAGTCTTTCAGCTATGGAGTCCTCCCCCACTGGCAGCTGCCTATCACTAGCAGAGTGGACCTGATGGGGAACTAGTCTTTCAGCTATGGAGTCCTCCCCCACTGGCAGCTGCCTATCACTAGCAGAGTGGACCTGATGGGGAACTAGTCTTTCAGCTATGGAGTCCTCCCCCACTGGCAGCTGCCTATCACTAGCAGAGTGGACCTGATGGGGAACTAGTCTTTCAGCTATGGAGTCCTCCCCCACTGGCAGCTGCCTATCACTAGCAGAGTGGACCTGATGGGGAAGGAACCTCATGTCGGAGGAACCAAAACCCCCCAAATCAGCTCCAGACATCCTGAGAGCACCGGGGGAGGCCGCATGTTTATATGGAGGGGCGGGGCCTTCAGGCTCTTGTAGTTCCAGGAGGTAACACGCTGATGGTTCATTTATACGTTTAGATTGTCATCTCTCTGGATCAGGACCCTCCTGAGCCGTAACTGTACTATATCCCTGTATTGTGTCCAACCCTAGAGGACAAGAGCCCCCCTCCCCCCATATAGAGGACAAGCCTTCTGTAGGTTGCCAAAGAGCTTGCCATGCCCACTGGCTCCCCCTACAGGAGGCAGGTGAGGGGTGCGGCGTCTCCGGCTTTGCTGCTCAGAAATGAAATTTGCCCACTGAGCCCCCAAACGTTGCAGCTCCCCACCTCCGATCTCCCGTAAAGAACAATGTATGACACTACACATCCCCGGCATCTCAAAACAACCTGCTGGCCACTGGGCGCTCGTCTAAAGGGAGGCCGGGGATGCCTACTTTCATAAAACGCTTGGGGACAAAATGATTGACGGCAGAGAAAGCTCTGCAGGGGGTTACAAGGACAGTACGGATCAGGAGAAGAGGGGATTAATGATGATTGAAGTCCTTCAGACAGGAAATGAAGGCGGGCTCAGGATAGCTGCTGCAGCTTCAAAGGGGTATATTGTGGAGATGCAGGTTTGCAGGGAATGGAGACTTGCAGCTTAGACCGCTGAACACACATTGAGGTGTGCCTGCCCGTAATATAATGTAACCCCCTGTAATGGATGATAAAGTGCATGCCCCCCATATGAGGCACTGGGCTGGTTGCCAGGTTACCAGAAGCTCCTCCCACCCCAGGCTTGAGCTTTCACAATCACGTGACACCCCCCTCCACACAACCACCTGTACTGACCTTAGAGCAGGAGAGCGCGCAGTGCGCGTGCACAGACCAGAGCCCTGACAGCAAGGTGAGCACGTGCGCGACCCCGAGCGCCGCCAGGCAGATGAGCCCGGCCTCCGGGTACTCCTCGACGCCGTACACCGCCACCCACAGGTACAGCCAGGCCGGGTAGAGAACGAAGAAAGGCAGCACCGTGCCCCTCAGCAACCGGGGCCGGCGGCGGTACAGGGTGACCGAGCGGACCAGCTCATCCTGCGCCGGCACACCGTTGACACCAGCTGACACCGCCGCCGCCATTCCCCTCTATCCTTGACGCTTCCGCCTGCGTCAGCTTTTCGCAACATCCGCTTCCGCACCGGCACTTTCGCGGCTAAGGGCGGGGGACGTTGCTAGGGTGTGACGTCGCTGCCCGCGGTCATGTGATCCAGTCTTGGCCGGAGGAAGGTCACGTGATGCGGTGTTCGGCCGAAAGTCCTGTGCTGGCGGAGGATGGCCACGTGACCCGTTTAGTAGGTCTTGGTTGGAAGAAGGTCACGTGATCCGGTCCAAGGCCCACTGCTGGTGGCTGAACAAAATGAAAAGAGAAGCTGAGTGGTTGCCATGGACAACTGTCACAGATTCTGTCTGCTCCAGTTTTGATAAATTCCCACCAATTCAAACCTTAACCCCTTCATGACTGAGGCCCTTTTTTCCATTTTTGCACCCATGTTATATTCCAAGAAGGGTATCTGAGCATCATTACGGTCCCCTCCCCCGTTCACTTGCGCATTTTGGTCACGCATGTCTTCGCGCATTTCCCTACAGCGGGCAAAACGCAACATCAAAAGTCTATTTTGGGCCATGATACACGCACAAAAACGGGTTCAACGTGCGTTTACTTGGGGTGTACAGGGGCGAGGGGAAGGGGTTAATATAAAAAGACACAGAGCAGGATCTTTGCTCTGCCAATCACAGAGTGCACATCCCCCACACACAGGAAGTAGACTGTGAGCATGTGAAGTCTTCAAGGGTGATCTGGTGTCAGGGAACATGTGAGTACAATGTTGCTGTTGGATCTTGTATCGTGTTGGTGCTTTTATCCTCTCCCCCCGTCTGTATAAATGACCCCCCCC